AGGACAGTTTATTTATTTTTATTTATTTATTAAGATTTATCCCCCGCCCTCCCCGCAGAGCGGGCTCAGCGCGGCTTACAAGGGGCAAAGCCCATATAAAACAGATAAAAGCAATAAAACAATCATGACAATTAATAAAATTATACTCAGTTTAACAAGATGGTCTCCAGATGGTTCTCCAGGGTGATGTTATCCTGTAGCTCAACCAGGTAAATCCAGTGGCCACGCAGAAATTGTGGCAGATCTTCCTGGGCCATCCTTACCCCGATGTTGTCCACCTCACTGGTGGCGGTGGTAGTGGTGGCCCCTATGTGAAAGCCTGGCGGAAGAGCTCCGTCTTACAGGCCCTGCGGAACTGCATAAGGTCCCGTAGGGCCCTGATCTCCTCCAGGAGCTCGTTCCACCAGGTAGGGGCCACCACTGAAAAGGATCTGGTCCTAGTCGTGGCGAGCCTTGCCTCCCGGGGGCCTGGAACCACCAGGCGATGTTGTGCCCCGGCGATGTTGTGCCCCGGGTAGATTTTTATCTATTGAGTGTAGTGCTCTCCTTGGGATATACCAGGAGAGGCCGTCCCGAGGGCTTTGAGGGCTTACAGACTTCTCCGTTTGGATGTTAGAGTTCCTTGGGCTTAAAAACACACACCAGGGCCGAGTTCAGACTGGCAATTTTAAGCGCTAGGGAGTCGTGGCAAAGAAGACCCGGAACAGACTGGGAACGGCTTGTTCATGGTATTCCCATTCACACTGCAGCGAATGAGGTGGGAGGATACTGTGGAGGAAGCGCAACGGAGCGTTCCAACCGTCCGCCCGCCCCCGGCAGGCTGTTAGCTGCTGTTTCTGCACTCCGCGGCATGCGCATGGGCGCATGCCGCGGAAACAGCCAGCGCCTATTATTAATTACTGTGGGTTGTTCCCGCCTTAGCAGCGCTTGCATTCACATGTCAGGGAACCGGAATCAACCCACTCTACAGACGGTTTGCTACCACTTTCACCTGGTACTTTTTAAACTCGGGAGGGAAGCGGCACAAGACGGCTTGAGTACGGCTGGGGGACGCCTGACAGATGTGCCTGTGTGACCCCGCCCCTTTAATCAGCTACTGAAACACTCCCGAAATGTTTGGCTGCCGAGCCAAACCGCCAGTCTGTACTCGGCTCAGAATTCGCAAAAGAAAGAACAATTAGTGCTGTTCCCCTGGTGTGGTTGCAAACCTGCCCGGGCCCTTGAAAAGCTCCCAGAGAAGCCCCCCCCCCCAACACATAAAACCTTACAGCATCCTACTGATGTAGCAGAAATGCCTTCCTAAAACAGAGTGCTTGTCATAGACGGGTAGCAGTGACCAGACAGAAGATATTGATGCGGTTCAGTTCATAATATCCATCCTCCAGATACAACAAAGGGAGGGAGATGTTTCTAGATGCCTGTATTTCAACAGGAACTAACCGAGTTTGGCTCCTTAGGGATACGTCTTCATTATCTCAATTTTATACCAGTTTAACTGGGCTTCCCGAAAGAACCCTGGGGATCGTAGTTCGGTTAATAGGACTCGAGATTTCTCTGTTAATCCTTCCTCCTTTTCAAAGAACTACAGATTGCCCGGGGAGCTATAAGGACTAGTTTAAGTCTGCAGTGTAAATACACCTGTCATATCACGTGTCTCATTATCGCAAAACTTATTTTCACTCGCCACACAAGCAAATCTAGATTCTTTTGTGCTTCAGCAAACCAGAGCCCTTTCCACATGTGAAAATATATATTTGGAGGGGATGACGTATATTGGGTCTTTGCAACCAACTTGCCCTGAAGGGGGTTTGTAACGTACCCTGGAGCTAAGCTTTTCCCCTTTGACTACAATGCTGGTAAAAGTGGAATGTGATAAAAGGCTTTATTTTAGGGATTTAAAGGATTTTTTTTTTAAGAAAAAGAATCGGAATAGCATCATCTCTTTCTCCAGTACTTTGTATAACACATCAGTTCTTCCAGGCCCAAAATAGCCTGACTTTGAGATTACTTTTATCTCCAGCTCCTTAGAGGTAAATAAGCTGCAAAAAGTAGAAGATAATGAAAATAGCAAAGGTCGGTTGAGGTGCTTTTGGTTTCTTAGAAGAGTGTCTATGAATTCCTAGTGGAATTCCAGGCCTAGCACTGATGGAGCTAGCAGTGGATATTGATCTCCACTTGAATTCACTGAATAAATAATGGTTGCCATAGTTATTGAGCATTCACAACTGGTAGGGAAGCTGGGAACTCTCCAAAACACCTTCTGTGACCGTTCTGTCATCAAATCATCCAGTGGAAGAATGGCACGAAAATAATTGCATAAATGCAGTTTGCATAGTCTTGCGTCCCTTTCTGTTCACCTGGAGTTATATAATCATTTGGGTTCCTACTTGGAAAAAGCAATTCTTGAACATCAGTGGCTCTGTAAGATCCCAGGTCAGCTGGCCTTGAAAGTCTTCTGCCTGCCCATGTAGCTCTCTCTCTCTCACACAGCATGTTGGTCTGCAGTAGAAGATCAAGATTGGAGTCCAGTAGCACATAAAAGACTAACAAGAAGTTATTGGCATCTGGTGACTAACATGTTAATAAGGGGCTTTGAGTACATAGTTGTGCCTTCTCTGAGGTTATTTTTGTTGAATTATATTGAACCAGACCTGTAGCCACCCGGAGGGCATTTGGGGGCAATGCCCCCTCACAGATGAGCACTGCCCCCTCAGGCGATTTTTTAAGAACCCAGGAAAATTAAGAAAAGATCCAATTAAAAATATATATATTAAATGTGTTTGGGTATTCCAAAATGACCCCAGGCATAGTCAGGGAAGCTTCAGTCTCATTTTTTATTTTTTATTTCCCAGGCTGAAAAATAAGTAGGTTTTTAAAAATGCAAAAAATAAAATAAAATTGCAGAATGCAAAATAGAGAGAGTTGGAGATCTCACT